CGTTATCAATATACAGGCTGGGGGATGAAGGGATTGAGAGCAGCCCTGCTGAGAAGGACTTGGGGGTACTGGTGGATGAAAAGCTGGTCATGAGCTGGCAATGTGTGCTCACAGCACAGAAGGCCAACTGTATCCTGGGCTGCATCAAGAGAAGCGTGGCCAGCAGGTCGAGGGAGGTGATTCTGCCCCTCTGCTCTTGTGAGAGCCCACCTGGAGTCCTGCATCCAGCTCTGGAGCCCTCAGCACAACAAGGACATGGATCTGTTGGAGTGAGTCCAGAGGACGGCAACAAAAATGATCTGAGAGAATTGGGACTGTTCAGCCTGGAGAAGAGAAGGCTCCGGGGAGGCCTTATTGAGGCCTTTCAAGGGGACCTGTAGGAAAGATGGGGATAATCTTTTTAGCAAGGCCTGTTGTGATAGGACAAGGAATAATGGTTTGAAACTAAGGGAGAGTACATTTAGACTGGGTGTAAGGAAGAAATGTTTTACAATGAGGGTGGTGAAACACTGGAACGGGTTGCCTAGAGAGGTAGTGGAGGCCCCATCCCTGGCTAAGTTGGACAGGGCTCTGAGCAACCTGCTCTAGTTGAAGATGTCCCTGCTCACTGCAGGGGGGATGGGCTAGATGACCTCTAAAAGTCCCTTCCAACCCAAAGCATTCTATGATAAGATTTTCGCTTGCAGGGAAGCTTCACGCAGAAGGTGTATTATTAAGTCTAAACAGTACCACTGAATTAGTGGAAAACATTGATCAACATTGACTTTTTTCCATAAAAGGGACGATATCGTTCTTAATTTGTACACTGCATTTTCCTGACAATGTCACACAGTCAGATCTCCCTGGAGGAATGGTGTTTTTGCAGTGTCTCCTGTCTCTGTCCTCTGCACATGCCAAATACATAAGTCATGTCAGAAGGAGGAGGTAGTGAGGTACTGATGTTTTCAAGGCTAACTTGGGGAGAGGAAAGGAAGGGTGGACAGGGGTTAACGGAACGGGGGCCTCTGTAGCAACCTCTCACATATTTACGGTAGTTCTTCGAGACCCAGCTTCTTGTGGTCACAGGATTGCTCACAGGTTTTAGTGGGTTTGTCCACAGGGCTGCAGTAAGAGATAGGAAATTAATATAAAAATGCTGTTGACTGTGTATCTCTGTCTGCCTTAGGCAGGGTATACAGTCCTTTTGTCATCTGGGCTCTCATTACCAGAGCGAGATGACTTTGGAGTCTGAGGCTGTCATTCAGATCCCTGGGCCACGCTTCCTTTGCACGAGGAAATTGCCTGCTGGTTTCCATATGCCTGCCCCCATCTTTTCAGCGTACAAGCAATAGCATTTTCACAGCTTGGGGGATCTGCGGGACGTACACTGAATCAGCCTGATCTGTTTCACTGGCGTTAAAACATTCATTACCTATTAAAATAGATATTTATGATATTATGCAGTGTAGCTAATTTTCATCAAACGTCACGTGTGCTGGACAAAACCAAAGCATCTCTGTGTGACTTGGTGAGATCAAATCACTGACCTTGGTAACTTTGGTCTACAGACATTCATTCAGTATCTGGCTGAATTATGTTATAATACTGCATCAGCGCTGAGTTCACGTACTTTCTTGTATGTGCTTCTCTGATACCCTTTTACATGAAGACAGTTCTTTATCACTGTAATGACAAAATCTCTAGGTTTTTTTGACTGTTTCTTATACTAGTAGTTAGGTGTAGGTAAGCAAAGCGTCTGGTGTGCTGTTGCAATCAAAGCTCTGGCATAAATGTGATCTTATCTTGCTCCTCGATCAAAGGAAAGAATTCCATTTAAAACTTAATTGATGCTCATCAAGGGCTAAGGCTTCTGCTAAAGCAGGTGTTGGTACATGCTTCTAGGCTAATGATCCTGATGTCTCTGTCTTGTGTGTGCAAATTGAACGTTGCTTAGGTTGCCATCCTTTTATCATTAATATCTTTCCTTATCTCATAGAGTCTTGTATTACTGGAATGAAGGTTGGTGGGTGAATGCTTTATGAAAAGCTCTGCAATATGCCCATTTTTTCATTAAATAAAAGATATCCTGTCTGGTACAGGTGCTTTCCTGGCCAGAACAGAAGGGCTCAAGGTATGGCCTCCTTTGGGTGCATTAGAAGTCTAGTGGGCCAGTGAGGCAGACTGGTTAAGGGCTTCTGTTGGGCTTTCTAGCTTTTGCAGCTTGTAAAAGACCCGTATCTAGTAAGAGAGGATTTCTGGTTTCTGTTGTGATGTTACTGCTATTGCCCTTTCCAACGATGCTTTGTTTTGAGCTGCAGGTCTTGGCAGTTCTTTTTTTTCTCCTCTTGAAGTGGCATTGTGAAAGAGCTGTGCCCTTGCTGTGAGGACCAAAAGGCAACCCTTTGGTGACAGGTGGGCACATAAATGGGGGAATGTGAATCTACCAGTGTGTTTCATCGGAACAGCAGTATCTACAACTTCAGCACCTTGAAAATTTAATTTAGAATTGGCTGTTATCCCACTGCTGTGGGAAGCAGAATGCTATACCTGAGCAGGTATCTTAGCATTGCACTGCTGAGAAGACCTGTGCTTGGCTCTGGGGGTGGAGAAGGGAACAATAAGGGATGGAGACCTCCCTGCTGCCACCCCCCCACCCCCCGCATGTAGGACTTCCCTGCGGGAAGCATGGATGTAAGAACAAGTTCAGACATGCCTGAAGAATGTAGACTGTAAAATGTGTGCAGGGACCAGGGAATGGAGCTGTGCCTGGAGACTATTGTAGGGGAAAAGTGGGAACCTAGTGAAATGCAGATACCTACTGTGACACGAGTGGGATTATTTTTTTTTTTTGCCTTTCTTTTTCCCCCTGGATAGTTCTAGTGGTGAGGTGTATTCACTACTTCATTCCCCCATCATTTGTAACATGCAGGATTCTTGCTGTTTGCATTCTGTTAGCTTCACCAAGCAGGATTTTAAAAGGATTATGGCAAAACATAAAACTTAGTCATTGTTTGCATTTGTAACGCAAGCTGTAATGGAAACTGTGGAAGAAAGAGGAGACAAAAGATAAATATGCTATAAATTCTGTGGGCTTTTATCTTTTTTTCTTTAAAATTTGTAGTATTCCATGTAGTATTTGGACTTGGGCTGTACTTACCAGAGGATGTAATATTATACCTCTTGTGAAATATGATCCATGTATAAACATAAAAGCATCCTAGTTATTTCCTTGTATTTAAAATCAATCCTTCATCTTTTTTCTAACTATACATACTTTACGCTATTTCATACAGTAACACTAGATGAATAAATCCATATGTAATTGAAAC